AGTACTGCACCCAGTTCTGGAACATTTTAAGAGGCATGTAGACTAATTGAATTAATCCAGCATGTCAAAAGACTGAATACTGTATCATCTCTGACATACAAAGAAAAAATGGCATAATACTTATCTTTACATACTTTAAGGGTTGTTATGTGGAAGAGAGATTAGGCTTTTCTGCCAGTATGTTTTATAAAAGGTGCAATTTAAAGGGAAAAATTATCTCAATATGAAAAATAGCATTCTACTAAAATGGACTTACACAATACTGTCATGGGAGTTATCCAGTCAGAAATTGTGCAGTATCAACCCAGCAAGGTAGTGCACATCTGCAATCCCAGCACTCAGAAGGTTGAGGCAGGAGAATCTTTAGTGTAAGGCCAGCCTGAACTATTTAATGGGACCCTGACTCAAAAAAGGAAAGAAAACAAAGGAAGGGAGGGAGAGAAGAAGGGAGGAAGGGAAAGAGGGAAGGAGGAGGGGAGGAAGAAAGGAAAATAAAGGAATAAAGGAAAGAAGGAAGGAAGGGATTGTGCAATAACAAATTGCTAAGAGAGCAGATTTTCAGTGTTCTCACTACAAATAATTGATAAATATAAGGGATGATGCATATATTCATTAAATTGATTGAGCCATTCCATAATATATACATCTTTCAAAACATCATGTTGCACATATAAATGTTACAATTTTTATTTGTCAATATAAAAATAAATTTAAAAAGGAAATTTTGCAATATCTTAAGTAGGATCTGGAAATATGCTTGTTTATATGCACCTTCCAACTTTGAACTATATAGATTGCTGTGTGCATGAAGCTCAAACCTGTATGTTGTGTTCCCCTTTCCCAACCACAGCAGTGGCTAAGTGCTTTGAACAAATGTTTATTGAATATATGAATGTTGAATCTATATTTATGTATTTAGCAGTAAATCAGAGGCTGTTTCTGAAATGCAGTGTGAGGGTAGGCATTTCTACCAATTCAGATTTATTTTTAACTTTATCGGGCTGCCAGAATGGCTCAAGCTATTAGGAGCGCCTGCCTAGCAACTGTGAGGCCCTGAGTTCAAACCCTGTGCTACTCCCCCCACCAAAAAAATCTACAGTTGTCTAGCAAGAAATTTGTAATTTTGCTTCAGATTATATGATTATTAGTTCCTTATTTACCTTCTTATCCGTCTAGAAGAGAGTTATATAAAGACATGTACATATCGTGTGCCTCACTCTATCTAGAGCACACCATCCTTCCCTTGGCCCCTTTCTCATCCACCTTCTCTTTAAGACTATGCAAGTGTTCAGCCCCAGTGACTGCAGCAGGGCCTGGCTGTTTGTTTCATTCCGGCCATCGCTGTTACCCACTGATCACCATGGCTAATCAGATAGCATGCCAGCCTGCACCAATCATTAAGATGACCCAAATTAACAGCCTGGCCATGTCACAGTACATTCATTCCACATACACAGACATGGCTAAGTGTGAGGCAGAAACCCGGATGTGCTTATTTGTGTTTGCATTGTTACATGCATTATTGATTGTCATGATCTGCTTTAGCACTTTAAATCTGCAAATGAGAATCATCTGTCAATTATTCCAGCCAGAATGGAGTTCTGAGAGCAAAAGAGAAAGGGTAGATGCCTTTTTCTTCCAGCATTCCTTTTCATTTGCCATTTTCTGCAATTACATATAAAGCATCTTAGCTCTAGACATTCCTCAGCTTTTTGCTTAGAAGGGTCACTTAATTGGAATAGTTTCATATCCTGAAAAAGGAAACAAGTCTTCCCCAGCCAGGTGAAGAAGGTGGTACAGGCTGTGATTGTTAATTCCTTGTGGGAATTTTGTAATCCAATTTCTTGTGGATACTAGTTAGTGAAACTCAGTTCTTAATACAAGCGAGGCATCCTTATCCTAATTACACTTGCAATTGCTGGCACCTTACAGGGCTTAGCATCAATTTTATCCCCCAAATATTTGCATTCTTGATAGTCATTTTTCTACAATGCATTCTAATAATTAAAGAATCCTATTACCTGCTAAACGTTGCATAAATTAACAATCCATTATGCACAATAAGTTTTATAAAACATTTACAGATCAAGATCATGTTTAATTAAAATTAACTTCCATGTGAAAGCCAAGTGCACTAATGATTCACAATGACCTTTTATTACCTGCAGTTCCTTGTTTTGGATGGATGATTGACAGCTAGCTGTTTGGCTACCATGTTGAATTTCAGCTGACAAGACTTTTCATTTTAACTCAATTTGCCCGCCTATCACAAGCTGGTGGCAGGCCAGACCCAAGTCACCCAGCTTTGCCTCAGCAGCTTGCTCTAGTTCTCATTAGTACGCATTTATTCAGTGGAAATTGGAAGACAAATGCTTGAAGGCATGTGAACTAAGTATAGCAAATTAGGTTTAAAGACTGAATATTTATAAGTATATGGAAAGTTTTTTTTTTTTAATTCTAGAGCAAATTGAGAACTGAGTGCTAGCTTTGGTATATAAGAAATGAAGATAGAAGGGGGAAGATTCTAAGAATAACAATACTATAAGCTTTTTCTTTCCATTTTGGAAATATGCAAAATCTCTCTGACAACACCTTATCAAATAAAAAACCTGGCTTCTCTTTTATGGAATGCTTGCACTATGAAGTTTAGCACCTCGTGTGTGAGAAGGGGAAAAAAATGAGGGTCATGTTCATTTGTTGCTTGGTTATCCCTTGGTATGTTTTAAATTGCCTTGTTTGTTCGGCACTAGCACAGAAACAGATGTTGCTCTACCGTGCAGGATAATTTACTGTACCTCCTGGTGTAGCATGGAAGTCCTCCCAGGGCCCAGCTGGTCTGTCAGTGGCACTGGCTGGTGTCTGCTCAACTATGACAACTACAAGTAGAGGCTGCAATTTTTTTATTGTGCAGTTTGTCATTCTTTTCAACGTATAGCTCTGCCCGTATTCATACTCAGGCTGGTGGGAAAGATGCTGGCTTTTGTGTTGTATGTTGTACTGCACAGCCCCAGAAGCTTGGCCCTCCATTGTTGATAATAACGCTACTCATTACTTTTGTCATCTAATGGTTATCGGCATGATCGCTCAGAGCGAGAGCCAACCTCATCTTGCACACATAACTGGTACTGGAAGGTAAAACAGATTTGTCACTTACGATCTGACTGCTGAGCTACACTTTGAGCTCCATTATTGTGATTAACTTCTGCATAAGATATGCTTGCCCAATTGTCATTTGTGATACTATGGTGGGTGCAAGCTGCCATGCTTCCCAAGAGCACACTGGCCAATCGGATGTGACCGTGTTATTCAGACTGTTAAATGCCTGCCCTGTCACAGCAGCCACCCCACCATTATTGTGCTTTTGTATTTCTTCTTCCCACACCCCTACTGGACGTGTTGGGTGAACGGCACTGCTACATATGTCAGCTACCATTTCGCTCCACAAGCTAAGATGATGCTACCGTATTGTTGGTTCAACAGAGCCAGCAGCAGTACATGGGAAGCTGACCCCTGCTTTTCACCATAGAAATGTTGGTCGTTGGTGTCCTGCCAGCTGAAATCTGTCGTGTCAGGTGCCTTGTGGCTATCTACAGTAGAGTCCATGTTCCAAAACCAAAGTTCTTTCCTGGCCTCATCACCAGCAAACCGATTTGACTCTGCCTGATTATAATAACGAAGGCAGTCCAAGAGAATATGCACAGCCTCACCGTACGTCACATCGAATCACCACACTGCCCACACAGAGTTGACCGCAGCCTCATTTCTTTAGACAAATGCATGCTTAAGGAAAATTCTCCTGGGAGAAGGCACCCCAAACTACTTCATATCCCTTTGCAAGCTGAGCAGAGGTTGAAGTTTTACTAAAATTATATTTGTTTTCATCTTTTCACGGATGCAAGCTCTCGCTGATGGGCCTGCCTTTGATAATTGAATAATTAGGTTCTCAGTGTATCCAAGCTTTGTTGAACACCAAGAAACTAGACTGTGTGTGTATCAGTGTATGTGTGTGTGTATGTCTAAATTGCAAGTCATAAACACAACCATTTGTTATCATGTGAAGGGAGAAAAACTCCATTTGAAGCTTTTTTCATGTTGCTGGTAGAAAGAATCAAGCTTTATGTTCTAAGACCCATTCACGCTGGTGGAAACATAGTCAGTTTTGATTATGAAGGGAGAGATACAGACCTAGACAGGAGCTACACGCTGATATGCCTGCTATCAGAATGATTTATGCAAATTATGCATATTATTCTCAAAGGAATTCCTCCTCAAACTGCCAGGATAAATTGCCGGAAATTAGCCATAAAATCTGTCGTGCTAGGAGCAAAAGGTGAAGGCCACTGGGAAAGCAAGGACATTTGGCTTCTGGAATCTTCCAGAGTATGATGGTGGCCATTATTTTCCCTGGATACTGAGGAAAATATGGTTTTCTTTTAAGTTCTATAAATGTATTTTCTTTTTGAAATTTTTCCAGCAAATGCTGACTCACACTTTATTTACAGCTAGCAAAAAAAGAAATTAAGTGTTAAGCTGTCTCAGAAAGCACTACAACAACTACTTCACTATTAACTGCGTAAGTAGTTATTAAGAGGCTAAACCTGGCTGTAAAGGCAACACGGGTCTAAAGGTTGATGAAATAATCCATCACCGGTATACTCTAAGTAGGATATTGTTTACTTTCCAATAGGTATGCCCTTAATACTGCATTCCTCTCTTTCAGACCATTCTCTTTTACAAAATCTTCATACATGGCTTTCTGCCCAAACACAGCATGGCTGCCTCTTACCTGTAAAATGCCCCAAGCTGTGTTGGGTTGAGGCCACCCCTCTCCACACTCTACTATCCACAGGTACTATTGGCTCTCTCTTGGTGCTCGATGGATGTGATGAAAAAATGGTTTCCTTTTCAATCAAGACTATTGGTAATGAGTTTTAACAGTCAGCTGAGTGCACTTTTCTGAAGCAGTTATATTTCAGTAAGCTATTGTTTGTCTCTTTCAGAAAGCACCATTTTTGAGGTTCTTCGACTATGCTCATATTCAAGCACCATTCGTTTTGTTGAAGAGGATTTGACTCTCAATTCAGAGACTGGCAACTGCTGTCTGCGGAAGGGAGACTTCATAGCCATCTTTCCTCCAATCATACATAGTGACCCCGAAGTCTTTGAAGCTCCGGAGGTAAAATAAGCATCAAGCTGGGCATTACTCCTTAGACAGTGCAAGCACATTCCTTTTCTTTGTGATCTCTCAGTCTCTCTCTCTCTGTGTCTCTCTCTCTTTCTCTCCCTCCCTCCCCCCTTTCCTCTTACCACCTTGTTCCAAAAGGGATTTGAGACAGCTCAATCACTTGGTTTTTTCCTTCAAATGGGAAATGTTTCCTTCTTACTGAAGTGTTTCCGAAGGATCCATCTTCAAAAGGTTGTGTGATCTATAAATAGAAATTCAGTGATAAGACTATATGCTATTTGCTTCAAATGAAATGGGCATTGTTCCTTGGCTGCCATTACCGTTAGGTCCAAATTAGGTTCTGTTTGGCAGAGGATTACCTAAAAACCATAGGATACCTATTGACAGGTGGCACAGAAAACTATTTTGCTAAGTATTTCCAAAGTGGAGTTGACTCTCTAAAAGTCAAATACCATCTTCCCTGTATTTAAGCCCAGAGACTTTTTCACTAGAGGTATGTGCCCTTGCTTGATTAATTAGTATGGCATTATGAACTTGAGATTGTAAAGCTGCTGCTCGTGGGTGAAGCTCTGAGGGCAATTGTGTCATCTCCTTGTATTTTTTTCTGAATCTGGAGTTAATGAATATCAAAGACTGGAAATTAATCCACACTGGTTCATCCCTTAATACCACTTCACAGATTCACTACCTGCATGCAAATTGACTGTAGTCATATTCTGCCCGCATTTCTCACGAAGTGATGCTGCCACGGCTTTTGTATACACAATGCCTCTTTTCAGAAGTGAACTTCTGTGCTCTTTTTGAGCACTTCATAGCTGAACCACTTTTAAACCCACTTTCTAAGATAGATGTTTTGCACCCAGATGAATTACAATATTGTTGAATTTGGGAAAAAAATAAGGAGAGAATAGACTTCAAAAACAGTAGCTTGATTTGCATTTATTTAGTCAGCAAAGCAAATGTGTCAGTATAGGGAAATATGTATATGGTTTCTATGTGTTTCAGAAGGAGAGGCTCTGTATGAGTGCTGATAGCGAATAGTATGTAGAGTATTAGCAAGTTAGTCAACATTCTGCAGACAACAAAATTTATTTACACATTTGCAAATATCAAAAAATTTCTACTCATTAGCAGATATTCAATAAATAAGTCAGATGAATAGTTAATGTATGGAAAACATTTTTAACTTCTAAATGCTTCATTTCTATCTATAGTTTTTCATTTAAGTTCTACTTATTATTTTCCCTGTGATTATTTACTATTCATGTTATGATAGTTAAACCAACATTAAAGTTATCAGCAAATACTCAATAAATGTTTTCCAGGTTACCCTGTCTTCATAGCCCTGTTCTTTGTATTCTTCCTAGTTTCCACCCCTCTACTCTCATCATAAAAAATTTAAAAAGACCTTGATTTAGAACTTTAGGAATTGAAAACCCAAAGTTAAAATGGAAAGTGTTTTTATTTATGCTTTTTCTGTGGAATACTAAGGGGTACTCCCCTAACTGTATATAATAAATTGACCAATCTTAATGGGAATCAGGAGGATGTGCCTCTTGCTAAATCAGTGGAAGAAGGAACTGCAACACTGTGAATACTGATCTAGCATCATTAGAGTAGTTCTAACCTGAGTTGATGAATGTTCTCCCTTATTTACTAGATTTAACATTAGCCAATTATGCCTCACTGTTGTTAGAATTAACTAGCTAAATTTTTGTCACCACATTGTTTTCTTGCAATTAGTTGTGGAATGCTGATAATTCCCAGCACAGAAAAAAAGAAGATATAGTTTGCAATCACTGGAAATACTTATTCTAGAAATTTTCATTCTATGAACATTCTTTCATTCTATAAACATTTACTAAGCACCTACTAGTCTGCTATATGGATTTATTTCTATGGCTCTTAACAACTTAAATATCAGTACATGCTCACAATAATAGATGCCCATCTCAAACTACCTTCTAGTGACAGTACAGGACAAAGTTCTAGAAAATGATGCCCTTGGCCATTTGTCACTGAGAACACTGGCACAGAGCTCATCAGAGACTCATTCCTCACTACAAGTCTCTTGTGTCCTGTTACATTGAATGGAAAGATCAACAGACAATAGCTGTTGGGCCAAAAACACTAAGAAAACTAACTGCAAATATCTGTTCTTCGAGGACACAGAAGCTGAAGCGCACTAACTCTTCAGGCCCAATGAGGCATGGGTTCCAAAGTTCTGAGCTCCAAAAGACTCGAGAATATTGCATTTCAAAATAACTCATGGTTTTCCTTCTCACTTCAGGGTTTTTGCACCTGCATCTCTGCATTCTTCTTTACTTTTCCACTCACCAAGTTTCAAGTTACTCCACAAGAAGCATCTTAATCACCTCTTCTTTAATGATGTCCTTGATTTCAGCCCCATTCTGGAGAATTTGCTATTGTCCTCTGTCACCTCAGCATGTCTGTCTGGTGACAAATACCACACTACTTTGTAGTTCCTTGTTTCAGTGCCCCCCACACAGGAGACTGTCCCTGGAAGTCAAAGGAATGCTGGGATAGATGATGCACTGAAAGGGAAAATATACTTTAGTTAAAACTTTAAATTAGGACCGATAGTACATATTCAAACAGGTATTGGGTGTAAGTAGACCAAATAAAAAAGTGGCTTCTTTTTTAAAAAAACTGATTTTTGAGTGATATGTTTTTAAATAATTGGAAAAATAAAGTTTAAACCAATATTGGTTAAACAAAATGTTTTGAGACCTAATTTGGCCTATCAGCTACCAATATGTAACTTCTGTATTAAGGATTATTCTCTTTCTGAATCAGTTGCTTAAGACGTTGTAACATTAAGCATTCAGATGACTCTTGTCTATGGGAGAAAACACACTGGCAAGTGAAATTTGTAATGAAAGTGAAAGTAAACACCACTTCTTGACTCCTCCTTCCTCTCTCTTTAAAGGTATACTGCTATCCACAAAGTCTAGATAATCTAGTTGATTACCTAGGAGTGAGTAGCTTTTTAAAGTTTTTCTGAGGGCTTCCCCAAATTTACAATTATCATTGGCCAGAATTCATGCAAATAGCTGTCATATAATAAGTAAATTATTTATTTTTCTGCCAAAATGCAATACTCAGAAATAGAGCTATAGAGAAAATCAAACCTGGTTCATTTTTTCTAGGTCTGGAAGTGCTAAGGGATAGAGACCTGGTGATACTGTGGGCTACAGGGAGTAAATAACTGACATTTAGATGATGCATTGCCATCACTGGATGGCCTCTAAGGGAAAGAAGCAGTGAAATGACAATGAAATTCCAGGGTCTTTGTAGTGACCCCAGAAGCCCTGAAGTTAAAGGCTTTGTTTAGCCTGCTGCAATTCTGCCCTATCTGCTTCTCAGATGTGTGGGCAATAAAATGATAAGTAAATTTGAAAGTCCTTGAAAAAACCTGAAATCATTATAGGAATAAGGATATCAAGATTATTGATTATTATCACTGTTCTTAGAATAGACCAGTTACGATGGAGTTGGAGTATTTTCCCATCTCAGATGGGAATAGAGATTGTGCCATCACTATACTTCAAGGAAACAAACAGAGACAGAGCTTCTACTATGCCACAAACACTCTGATAGGAATAATGGGTAACAGAAGAATAAAAAGTTCCCTGCCCTCAAGAGCCTACAGCATAGGGACTTGGCCCAATCACAGGCTATTTTCTCATAGTCAAGAAGCTTCAGGTGGAGAAGGTTTCTGACATATCAGTAAATTGACACTTCATGCCTACCATACTGAAACCAGAGGTGTGTGTCCTGGCAAATCAGAGTTTTGTAAAGCCCTGATTTATAACATTTTTCAATTTTTGTGGTGTACATACTACCATCTTTTTTTTTCATTTTTCTTTTATTATTCATATGTGCATACAAGGCTTGGTTCATTTCTCCCCCCTGCCCCCACCCCCTCCCTTACCACCCACTCCACCCCCTCCCTCTCCCCCCCCCAATACCCAGCAGAAACTATTTTGCCCTTATTTCTAATTTTGTTGTAGAGAGAGTATAAGCAATAATAGGAAGGAACAAGGGTTTTTGCTGGTTGAGATAAGGAGAAATAGCAGCCTCTTCAACAAAAACTGCTGGGAAAACTGGTTAGCAGTCTGCAAAAAACTGAAACTAGATCCATGTACATCACCCTATACCATACTACCATCTTTGATGAATTCCATGTTAGTCCCTGAATACAGAGTTAGGAAGGGACGTACACAAGCTCTCACAGATCGCACCAGCTGGCTGCAGCTCACAACTGATTTGAACCCAAGTCATTGGGGATAAAAGGACTTCTATACTTAGTCATCTTGACCCCAAGAGGGCTGTAACCCAGAGGCAGCATTGCAGCCCCTTAGTCATCCCTACAAAACACAGATTTTGTATATTACCAGGAAGTCCTATCTTTTGTATAATTCAGATTCCTATACCCAAATTGTGAACTGAGCATATAACAAGACATGATTATATCCTGTGTGAAGTGCTGTAACAGGAACACGTATTATGCCTTTATAATTTCAATGCTTCAGATAGAGCAGGTGCTCCAAAAACATCTATTGAACTAAACTAAACATAGAATTTGGAAAACACAAATTACGATGTTATGCCATCTTCCGCCGCCACACATACAAAAAATTCTTTTCTAACCAGAAAATTGTATCTACATCCAGCCTTGATTGTAAGTGCTACCATTTGTAAACAGCAAATATTCAATTACTTTTCATTCTCTACATGTTTATTTTCTCACTATCTGTTTTCAAGAGCTTGAATATTGCTTGCGGGGGGAGGGAAGTACTGAAGTTTGAACTCAGAGTCTCATGATTGCGAGGTAAGTGCTCAACCATTTGAGCCCCATCCTCAGCCCTGAGTATGGGTTTTAAAATATAATTGTTACTCTTGGGTATTCATCCATTAATTTAATAAACATCTATGGAGCCTCTGTTATGGGGAAAACATTGTGTTAAAGGCTTTGAAAATACAGATAAGACAATGTGCCATATCCAATCCCTGGGGACCTCTTTGTTTTTTTGTTTTCATTTTTTTATTAGCATATATTTGTTGTTCAAAGGGGTTTCATTGTGATGTTTCCATACATGCACACAGTGTGGTGCAACCATTCCCTATCCTTGCTATTTCTTGTGGCTTAGCTCTGTCTGCAGCTTGGTGTGAGAATAGCTGTGGCAGTTCCAAACATCATATGCACACATGATGAGGTCCAGAGGAGGAAGGCTAATTAACCATTTCTTTTTGTTTTCCTTCTTTACAAGAAGAAAACTTCTGGTTTGGGTGTGATAATTCATACCTGTAATCCCAGCTACTCAGAGGCAAAGATCAGGAGAACTGTAGTTCTGGGCCAGCCTAGACCTGAGGCTCCATTTCAGCAAAAAAGCCAGGTGTGGTGGCATATAAATGTGCTTCCCTCCACATGGGAGGCATAGGTAGGAAAATTGGAGTCCAAGGACCACCCAGGCAAAAAGCATGAAGACCCCACCTAAAAAACAACTAAAGCAAAAAGTGTGGAGTGCATGGTTCAAATGGTAGAGCACTTGCCTAACAAGTGCTAGGCCCTGAGTTCAAGCCCTAGTTCCATCAAAAAATTAAATTAAAAACAAAAGAGAAGAAATCTACTAGAGGTCTCCACAGACTTTTCCCTTATAGCACTGGCCAGATTGGTTCAAACATGCTATCCCAAGTCAGTCAAAGGCCAAAACAATGTGATTACAGGATTGGTACCTAGACAAACCTCACACAGAAGAACAATGTTAGGGAATGTGCGGAATTTCAGTGTCTTACACCTCTGTCACCATGATTCCTCTGTTCTCATCCATTTGATTGATCTTTTTAATTGTGAAGCGTTGATCTACCATGCTCACTGCAAAGGATTTAAGTCAGTATGATGAGCTTAAGTGGATCTAAATGAATGGATACATCCTGAGCTTCCTGATCCTTTGTTTTGTGTCAATGTGACCTCAAAATCTGAAGAGTAAGATAATCATATCCCTTCCTTTTTTGGCCAAAATGAAACTGTCCCTAGCAGATGCTCCAGGCCCTTCCTAACATTGATTCTTCTTCAAGTTCTCCATGCCTGGCCAATGAAATAAAATTAACTTTAACTCAAAAATGTACTTAAGCTCATGTGATGATGGTCACAGAGATAAAGACAATGGTCATTTCCTTTTTAGTTATATAAAATAAACAAAATAGAAATTTCTAAGATGTTTACTCTGAGGAAACGAAATAGAAAGTGACAGAAAACTAGAGGAGTGAGTGACTAATGATTGACTAAAGTTTGGGGGAATTGACTGTAATTTCTAACTGAAAGTCATGGCATCCCATTAATTTGCACAAAGAAGGATCTGAAAAGCCATAATGGCTTGTGGCTTGTTTTTTGGTTATCAGGACACTATGAAGTCATAACTAATATTTTCCTTTTGCATTTTCTGGCATAACCACTTTTCTAACAAAGGTCACTTAAACTGATATGGCCTAGTTAGGTTGCTGTAGGGGTGTGTTAGACTCCATTGATTGGTCAGCAAGAAGGAGACTGCCTCAGCACTAAGGTCAGGTAAGCAGACCTGGCCCCCCCAATGGAAGAAGTTCACCAAGTAAGAATTCCGAATAGTAACTGTCTCCAGTGCATGCTCGCAGAGGGTGTCCTCCATCTTTACTACAGGAATGAGCAGATATTTTTAGTTTAGCACTGGTTATATCCTAGTTGGATCCATCCCAGAACTATGGTAAAAACATAATTATATTCTAAAGGGCTCAGAATATTAATTGTCAAGAAATAAAAACTATTATTAAAATGCAGAGTCATTTGCCATTATCATTGAATTGACTTGCAAGTTGGAGGGGAACAGAAGCTACCCAAAGTTTTTCTAAGCTCAAATACTTATCAAAATAAGCATTCTAGGTAAATGAGAATAAACCCAATACTATTAGAGAAAGTGTTCTACTCAAGGCACACTGGTATTGAGTGAGAACATTAGATCATTTGTGATAGATTCAGAATCTATCCACATGTTACAGGGTTTCCACCATACCCTGAACTATGTTAGATCTGACCCACTTCTTTGCATTTGACTTCATGTAATTTATTTCAAAGTTGTGTGCTGAGCAGGTCTAATGCTAATGAGCTCCAAGCACAGGAAATACTTGGTAGTTTTCATGCAAGCCATGAACATTAATTTAATCAATGGCTTAATTCACCATAGGCTGAAATAAGGTTGTTCAGTCCCCTCTAAGAAACTCAAGTGAGAATTGAACCATAAACCTTCAGCAGTACGGCAAAATAAAGATAGTGAGGCAAACATCCTAGATAAACCAGTCTCCTCAGTTTCTGTAGCAAATAATGCAGCATAGTTACAAAAATGTATTAGAAACACCTACCAACCTAGAGTTAACCCAAAGAGTGTTCACTCTAATAGAAATTTCTAAGGGGAAATTTACTTCGACATCAAAAAACAAGAAAAATTGATTTTGTGGCTTAGATTCTCTCTAGTGCTTTGTCTGAATCTTATTATTCCAAACATAAGTTCTGAAGCCTAAATTCATAGTGCTCATCCATCAGTAGGTGGTTGGGAAGGGATAAGAGAAAGGGAAATCAGAGAGCCACAGTTAGGCAGCTGCTGTGGTTTCTAATATTCATTATTCCATGCTAATAATGGCAACAGTACAGGAGCTCCTTCAGACCCAAGGTGGCATATGAAGGGCTCATATATCAAGACTCACCTTAGAGAACAGAAATAGCTCAGTGTGGGTGCTATGGTGTGAGTATGGTGTGCTTCCTCCAAAACACATGTTGCAATTTGATGGCCATTTTGGAGGTGTTAGGAGGTTGGGCCTTTAAGAGGTGATAGTGTCATTAAGAGGGATAAAGGATTGTCTCCTGGGTATTCTCTTGAGGGATTGGATTACTTACCTCAACAGTGAGTTTTTCATTTATTTGGAGGCTACTTAAAAAGCTAGACATTGATCTACCATTTGATCCAGCAATACCACTCTTGGGGATATACCCAAAAGACTGTGACACAGGTTACTCCAGAGGCACCTACACACCCATGTTTACTGCAGCACTATTCACAATAGCCAAGTTATGGAAACAGCCAAGATGCCCCACCACTGACGAATGGATTAAGAAATTGTGGTATCTATACACAATGGAATTTTGCAGCCATGAAGAAGAACAAAATGTTATCATTCGCTGGTAAATGGATGGAATTGGAGAACATCATTCTGAGTGAGGATAGCCTGGCCCAAAAGACCAAAAATCGTATGTTCTCCCTCATATGTGGACACTAGATCAAGGGCAAACACAACAATGGGATTGGACTTTGAGCACATGATAAAAGTGAGAGCACACAAGGGAGGGGTGAGGATAGGTAACACACCTAAAAAATTAGCTATCACTTGTTGCCCTTAACGCAGAGAAACTAAAGCAGATACCTTAAAAGCAACTGAGGCCAATAGGAAAAGGGGACCAGGAACTAGAGAAAAGGGTAGATCAAAAAGAATTAACCTAGAAGGTAACACACACGCACAGGAAATTAATGTGAGTCAACTCCCTGTATAGCTATCCTTATCTCAACCAGCAAAAACCCTTGTTCCTTCCTATTATGGCTTATACTCTCTCTACAACAAAATTAGAAATAAGGGCAAAATAGTTTCTGCTGGGTATTGAGGGGGTAGAGGGGAGAGGGAGGGGGCGGAGTGGGTGGTAAGGGAGGGGGTGGGGGCGGGGGGAGAAATGACCCAAGCCTTGTATGCACATATGAATAATAAAATAAAAAAAACAGTGAGTTTTTATGAGCTGAATCTTCCCCCCACAGTTTGTCTCTTCCAAATGTACCTCCTTGCTCTTTTGACTTCCGCCATGAAGTAAAGCTGCATGAGGACCTTGTGGTCCTCATCAGAACCGTGGTTTTGGATAGCTCAGACTCCAAGTTCTAAGCCTAAAAAAACTTCTTTTCTTCATAAGTCAATAGTTTCAAATATTCTATAGTAACGACAGAAAACTGGAGCATTAAGAAACAAATAGAACAGGGAAAATAATTCCTTTAGATGTTCGATTTCATTTGGATATGGGAAGTAATTCTCTAGCAGCATCTGAGTTTTTTTCTTTTTTTAAAGTTCACATGTGATGTACATGCAATCAACTTTTACTTTTTGATGTTTGCCAGATGAAAAGGAGCCTTTTCACAACCAAAAACTGCATGTTCTCCCTCATATATGGATTACGGAACTGCAACAAATGCAGCAATATTATGGGATACGGTCACACTAAGGAGAGGCTGTGCACAGGAGAGATTGGGCAGGAGAAGGACACCAAAAACTTGAATGTGGTTGATGTGCCTATTGTACAGGAATGAGTACAGGTTAACTAGCCTAGGCCACCTTGGGAAGGGGACTAGGGAGGAATGAAGAGGTATGGTAGAGATGAACCAATTGGGGTTGTAATACACATATGCATGGAAACAACACAAGGAATCTATTGTTTTTTTAAAGAAAAAATGAGCCTTTTAGGATAGACAAGGAGAGCTGACAACTTTGTGGAGCTGCACTCAAAATGACTTCATGTATAATTTTAACACTCTCTGTTCTTCTTTATAGGAGTTTAGATTCAATCGTTTCATGGAAGATAATAAGAAGAAAACTACCTTTTTCAAAAGAGGGAAAAAACTGAAGTTTTACATAACACCATTTGGATTCGGAGCCAATAAATGCCCAGGCCGATTTTTGGCAGTTATAGAAATAAAGCTATTGTTATTTTTATTATTAACTTATTTTGATTTGGAAATAATTGAAAACAAACCTATAGGACTAAACCACAAACGTTTGTTGTTTGGTATTCAATATCCAGATTCTGATTTTTTGTTTAGGTACAAGGCAAAATCTTAGAGAAGCTAAAATGGAGGAAATCTATTAAAATGAATCTAAATGTCTTAAGCTCACTTATTTGTTTAAAATTTCTGCAAATGTAATTGCTAGGCTTATTTGTTTAAAACATAAAATAAAATGGGATAGCGGTGTAAAAATGGACATCAGATCAACTTTGTGATAAGTTCAAAATAGTTTTTTATAGTTTCTGCTTGTTGTGATTTTTACTGGTTATAATAAATGTACCTTCACAGACAGAAATTTGGCACTAGGGAAGTTATTTTAAGTCACTCAAATTCTTCTTTAATATGTAAAAGTATATTTTATGTACTACTAAAAATTGTTCTAGAAATGGACACAGTTTAACAAATTCCAAATTCTCAGAGAAGAAGGAAATTAAATTTCCATGAGCTACAGTATGTGAAAATATTCCCTTCCTTTCAACTATATCAATAATGTCTATATTGCTAGGGTGCGTTTGTATTAAATGAGTTTTGCAGTAGATTAAATGTTGCAACTTCACTTCAATGTTTAGTCATCCATAAATGCTCTTTATTACTTTGTATACTGTGGCTCAATAGAACAAAATTTCTTGCTACTTAAGACCTCTCATGTTCAAGTTAGATACTGATAAGATTTAATGTAAAAGGAAACACAATGTGTTATATATTCTGCAATTGTCCTGGACATTAATATTAGGTTTGTTATAGGAGCAAATGTTGAAATCATTACAACATGGACGGTAGCATTTGGCTTAGGTATAAACCTTAAGGGTTATGCCAATATTGCAACAAACACTTTCCTAAAACTTCTGTTTTAGATTGCAGTGTTTGTTCTTGACATCTCACCTTTTGGACTTGGGAGTTTTTTTGCATTATTTTGAGATATAATGTTATGTGATTCACTATAATTTCATATGACAATTTCAGTGACTCAACAATTTCTAATATCAGATTACCAAGTGATCGGCATTTGACACAAATGACATGCTGCATTAACTAGGAATTCTAATAGTTCAGAAATAAGGTTTTTTTTTTAAAGAACTAATTTTTAAAATAACATTATAAAATGCTTCTAATACCAAATAGGATGTTCCTAAAGTACATGCGCTGAATGTTTCTTTAGGTCTACTAGTATGAATCTGGTTTTGCTTGATTGAGGATGTCTTTATTTTTACCCTCACTCTTTTTTATTGCAAAATGACCATTTGTAATTGTATAAGTTTAGGAGGTACAATGTAAAATTATGATTTATGAGTACAATGTGGAATAATTAAATCAAGCCAGCTAACATATTCATCACCTCAAATACTTGACATTTTTGTAGTGAGAGCATTTGAAATGTATTCTTAGAAATTTTGAAATATACACTACTTCATTATTAATTATACTCACTATGCTGTGCAATAAAACTCAAAAAAAAAAAAAGGAAAAAATATTCCTCCTGGTTGAGATTTTGCATTCTTTGACTATCATCACCATATTCCCTCCCCCCAAATTCTGTAACCACTATTTTACTCTCTACTTCTATGAGTTTGATTATTTTAGATTCCATATACAAATGAAAATATGTGGTATTTGTCTTTCTGTGCCTGGCTTTATTTGACTTAGCATGTTCTCCAATCCCATCTACAATTGTCACGAATGACAGAATTTCTCTTTTTAAGTCTGAGTAGTATTTCATTGTGTGTATACACTACATTGTGTTTATCCATTCATCTGTCGATGAACCCTGAGGTTCCTTCCATAACTTGGCCATTGTTAATAAGTCTGCAAGGAACATGAGAGTGCAGACATTTCTTCAACACATTGATTTCCAATCTGTTGGGTAAATACCAGAGGTGGGATTGCTGGGTGTCTTCATTCCTGAGAGACAGGATTTTTTTGGTTTTTTGCTGGATGCAGAAGTTTAGGTTGATAGTTATTTCCTTATTGCACTTTGAAGGTATTACATTTTCTTTATGCTTCCATTCATGTTTGTAAGGGATTAGATGTCAGTCAATTTAATTACTTAGTAAGTTGTCTGCTTCTTCTCTCTTACTATTTTAATATATTGTTCTTGTCTTTAATGTTCTTAGTTTCAACTTATCAAGCTTGCACTTCACATGCTACTTCCTAAGTCTGAGAATGAGGTCTTTCAAATGTGGAATATTTGCAGCCATTCTCTCTTTGAATATTACCTCTCTGTTAGATCTTCTCACTGTGCATCCCATTGTTGTATAACCTCTTCTCCCCATATTATCTTTCTCTAACTTATATTGAAGTTATAATATTTCTCAGTTTCCTCTCTGTATAGAGTATCTAATCTGCTCTTTGACTCATCCACTGACTTTCTTTCTTTTTATTTTAATCTTAGGTTTGGAAAGTTGGGTAATTGTATTTCTTTATACTCTTTAGTTCATGGTATACAATGATAGTTGGCCCAAGCAAGGTCCCTCTGGCTTTATTTACTTATTCTACTTCATCCCTAATCTCTAATTGCCTAATATACCTGTCCTCATCATGGGGAAGCAATGTAAAGAGTTTGATGTTTTCTTTTATATTTGTGTGCATGCAGTGCCCATCTGGGGCCCTAGGCTTTATCTCCTGACTACCACACACCATAGTTCATTCATTTTGTACCATGATTTATATAATTCTGTGCCTTTAAAAACTTATTATTATTATGTATTTGCTACAGAGTATACTTTTATAGTCATTATTATTTTTTCATTATTCATTTATTCAACCAAACATAACTGAGCATTTCCTCTAATCTGAGATAGGATACTATGCAGTAGGTTATGCTTCCCCCCTCAAGAACGTACATTCATTAGGGAAAACAACATATATATACAACCAATTTATTGCAAATCTAGTTGTAAGCAATAAGCTTATCTCTTTAAAGCTACTCTAATATTCTGATCTAGCACTAGTTCTAAATAATGTTTCGTCAGTCATTCCAAAGTAGTGTTGCATAATGAGAAATCACCATGTATAATTACACAAAATAAAAACATATACAACAGTATTGTGATAATATGATAAAGTGACCAAAACCAAATAGAGTTGAGGCACCTGAATTTTTTAAAAACTATTTCATATATTATAAATATCCATCTTTTTATTTTTATAGCTTCACCAAAGTTTTTAATTAAAGGAAATAAATAGTAACAAAGGTATTGTTTTATGTTGATGGCCAGTAATGATGTTGATTAGCAGAAGCCAAATACCCTGAAAGAATATTTTAAAAGCTACTTATCATTAAGTAAGGCATGCTGTTGAACAACTATTGTGGAACTTCTATCTGCCTTGTTTTGGCTTTGCTGGCACACATTATTATAACATCTCCATTTCATTATTAAATTTGGGGTCACATGTCTAAGGCAAAGGAGCTTCCATGCTCAAAACGTGCTTGGCTATTTGTGCTTATTTTATCACAAAAAATGATTTGGATAATAGTTTCTTTAAGCAGTTTCTAATTTAACAGTAAAATCTTAAAACTCTTCAAAGACCAAAGCGTAAAGTTTATCTAGGTTTTGATCTTAGTATAAAAGAATAGCAATAATTGCATAAACAGTAATTTCATGCCCTTAAGATGTGCACTTTTTAAACTATTAAATTTGCCAATACTGCAAACTATTACTCACTTGCACTGCATTATTAGGTATTCACATTCACATAATCAATTAAGAAAGTTAGCATGCCAAGATTACATTCCCTGTAGCATTATTTTGAATTTTAATGAGAGATCTCATAAAATTCTGTAGTATTTATCTAAAGCAATTTTTACTCACTGTACTTCATAGTGTTAATCTAAGTCACTGACTATTGAGGTTTGAACTTTTAGCTTAAATGTTTATACTGCTTTCTAGAGTAAATTAAATTTATTTCATGAAAAACTCAACTGCACAATTAAATTTTAACTTGTCAATGGTTACATCTTAATGTTTTTAAACAGAAAAGTGCTGTAAACTGTAAACTATTATCTTAATATATTTGCTTACTATTTTTTATTTTTAAAATAACATGTGGAGATAAAACAAATTATAATTAAATAAGAAATTCCAATATTTTACAAAAAAAATCAATAAATCAGCTTTTAAGGCACTGATGAGTGATTATGCCTCATTTGCTTACTAGGAATAAATCGAGTGGATAAAGATTCAATTACAAATAGCAAATTATTTGGAAAATTATTTTGCTGTCTGAATACTTCCACATCTCTGTCACTCCCCTTCATAAACGTATATTCTTATTTCCTGATGCTGTCTCTAAAAGTACATTGCTACATTCAGAGTATCTTTCAATATATTTTAATAGTCATTTATGTGTAAGATAAAATCAAATCCAAGAACTACCACTAACTTCATAATGTTTATTTTAAGCAGGCTGACCTGGCTGGGCTACAATTCTTATAATCACTACTATTCTGTGGATAAATAGATGTATAAGCATGACAGGAAATGGGAGAGAGTTCTCATTAGATGTGCCCTTTGTCTTCTACAGCTTTCTTCACTTTGCTACAGATAATGAATAGAGCTGAGTAATATTTGGACAGTATTCCATTTATTCATAAAACTGAGGTACAAATTGTAAACAAAGCATATAACACAGAATGCTATTGATGAAAATGAAATGTGGCTCTTTTAGTAACTGTACATGCAACATTTCACCAGGACACTTGGCTTTTCTTAAGAACACTTCTGTAAGTCACTAATGTTTCACCTGGAATCTACATTTGACTCTTTTAGAAGTCTATTAGAATGTGCTCCCTTGAGCAGGTAACAGAGGCCAACCTCTGTTAGAAGATGGTCCTGTTCATTTGAAGTAGTCAGTTCAGTATTATTTATTTACCAGCTAGGATAAATTGCCCATTAAATGGGCATTCTGTGAAATAATTATTTTGCCTTCATTTTTACTCTGTAAAACACTGAGAAAATAAAAATTTGGAGAATTTTCTGGAATTTTCCATGATCCTGAGAGTAATAATGTGCATTTTCTATTCATGATAGAGCTGAATTTAAAATGCTCAATGGTTTTGCTGGGTTTTTAAAAGACTATTTGATAGTTTGTTATTAATTATTTGAAGTATAGTTTGTACTCTCAATTCCTATATGCATCAATTTTTATAAGAAGATACATAATATATTTCAGACTACACAGAAGATTAATGATTAGAGAGCAATCATGAAGCATTTTACATCCTTTACAGGAAGTTTGTGCTCATAGGAGAAGCTGGGGGGATGGAAATAACAGGTAATGGTACTGCTATCTAATGATTCATCATGGGTCAAATTCAAACATTT